TAATTCTAGATAGTTTTCACTATGTAGGTTGCTATGGCTACCATGACATCTGAGTAGACACTTGCTTTTGTATATAAGGATTCGGTATTAAGTTTCCAAATGCTCCTAAGTTTACCAATAGCTTCACTCACTTTACTGGTCCTTATTCTTATTTGCTCAGAGCATGTACTGTTTTGGCTTATTGTGTTTCCAAGATATTTGAATCAATTGGCCCTCTCTAGCCGTTCCCTGTCGATTTTGAGTTTTCAGTCCGTACGCTCAGGGAACAGATGCTAAGAAGTTAGATGCTTTTCATCAGAAGTGTTTGCAGAGAATATTAGGAACAAGCAACGAGGGAAGGAAAACAAATGACGACTTTACTGGTCCTTATTCTTATTTGCTCAGAGCATGTACTGTTTTGGCTTATTGTGTTTCCAAGATATTTGAATTGATCGATACTGGTCCTTATTCTTATTTGCTTATTTACTGTTTTGGCTTATTGTGTTTCCAAGATATTTGAATCAATTGACCCTCTCTAGCTGTTCCCTGTCAATTTTGAGGTTTCAGTCGGTACGCTCAGGGAACAGATGCTAAGAAGTTAGATGCTTTTCATCAGAAGTGTTTGCAGAGAATATTAGGAACAAGCAACGAGGGAAGGAAAACAAATGACGAGGTCAGAAAAATGGCTAAGGCGAGGTCTCGACCACAGATCTTTTGTAAGAGAAGACGTGGATGGGTAGGGCATGTGTGCCAAACAAATCATAACTGACTCCCTGTTATGGCTCTCAGTTGGCAGCCAGAAAGTCCAAGACAGAGGGGCAGAGCCAGGATGACTTGGAAGCGTGTGATTATCAACCACAGAGAGAAATGTAGTTTGAAATGGGAGGCCTTAGGCCACATGGCAGCTGATGAGCAAGTCTAGAGAATGCGGGTAGCCCAGTGCGCTGGAAAGCTCAGGATGGGCTACAGTCTAAGGTCATTCTAGATCAAGTGAAGCAAGAACAAGCTCCGCTGTTCATCCACGTCCCCCCGTTCCTTCCCTGCCCCTTGCTGTGCTCGCTGATGCCCCCAGTTCTGTTCTCTCTCAGCTTCCCCAGACAGTCCCTCCCCCACTTCCAGCACTTTCTCTCTTCCCCTCAGAAGACACCAGCGGGCTCTCACTCATACCAAGGTGGCAGATTTGGGGCCACCACTTTGTCTTTCTTCCCCCGACTGGCCCTGTGTCCCTCAGGCCCTGCAATCACCTGTTTCCTCAGAACCATTCGCCCAGCTCTCTGCCCCTCCTCAGTCTCTTGCTCCTCTCCAAGCCACAGGACCCTTCAGCTTTCCCTCCCCCCTGGTCCCTGCCCACCAAATCCCCATGGCCTCCAAACTCCCTGCACCGTCCCATCCCCATTTATTCCCAGCCCCTCGACTGCCTCTCTCTGCCTGCCTGGTGACACCTCTCTATCCAATTGACAGGTCAGCATCTCGCTGGCTCCATCTGCCGACTTCCAGGCTACCCCTGTGGAGAACGAAGAAGAATCTTATTGTCTCTGTGTGAATGGACGGAAAACAGCGTCGTGGGCTGTGACCCCAAAATCACTGGGTAAGGGACCTGGCAACTCCAAAATCTCAGTATCGGGCACTAATGGCCGGCTCCAAAACCTCTGTGTGAGGGACCAAGTGGCTCCAATATTTCTGGACAAGACAGTGGGTGGCTCCAATCTCTCTGGAAGAGTCTGATCTGCTGTGAAAGGAGGTAGGCCGGCTTTGTGGTTGAGGCACTGGACTAGACTGAGGAGACCTGGACTCAGTGTCCAGCTCTTGGGCAAGTCAGTGTCTCTGTGCCTCAGTGTTCCAAACTGTAAAATGGGCATCATACATTCATCCATGCATGGGAGGTGTCCAGACACCATTGGGCAATCAGCAGTGTGGCAAAGCAGCACACCATGCGAATGACATGGACAGCCTGTACTGCGATGCCCAGCCAAAGGTTTCCTCTTTGCTTCAGGTAATGTGAATTTCTCAGTGAGTGCTGAGGCCCTGAGGACAAATCTGCGCTGTGGGAATGAGGTAGTGGAGGAACTGGACAAAGGGCGGAAGGACACGGTGATCAAACAGCTCTTAGTAGAGGTAAGGAGTTATGTGACGGGGGTGATTGCAGAATTCCCTTTGGGGACGCTTCCCGAGGTGCTGACATGGCCACTGCCACTCGCCTTCCTGCTCCCTGGGGCTTCTCACCACCCTGTCCTGCTGGGCCAGCTCCCTGGTCTCCCCCAGCCGAGGCCCAGAGCTGAGATTGCCGCCCCACCCCCTGAAGAGAAGGACAGATACTGAAATTCTTCAGGCCCAAGGAAAATGCAGTTTTGGGCCCAGCTTCCCGGGATACCAAATGGGATCAGATCCCACATAAATTGCCAGTGCGCTGGAAAGCTCAGGATGGGCTACAGTCTAAGGTCATTCTAGATCAAGTGAAGCAAGAACAAGCTCCGCTGTTCATCCACGTCCCCCCGTTCCTTCCCTGCCCCTTGCTGTGCTCGCTGATGCCCCCAGTTCTGTTCTCTCTCAGCTTCCCCAGACAGTCCCTCCCCCACTTCCAGCACTTTCTCTCTTCCCCTCAGAAGACACCAGCGGGCTCTCACTCATACCAAGGTGGCAGATTTGGGGCCACCACTTTGTCTTTCTTCCCCCGACTGGCCCTGTGTCCCTCAGGCCCTGCAATCACCTGTTTCCTCAGAACCATTCGCCCAGCTCTCTGCCCCTCCTCAGTCTCTTGCTCCTCTCCAAGCCACAGGACCCTTCAGCTTTCCCTCCCCCCTGGTCCCTGCCCACCAAATCCCCATGGCCTCCAAACTCCCTGCACCGTCCCATCCCCATTTATTCCCAGCCCCTCGACTGCCTCTCTCTGCCTGCCTGGTGACACCTCTCTATCCAATTGACAGGTCAGCATCTCTCTGGCTCCATCTGCCGACTTCCAGGCTACCCCTGTGGAGAACGAAGAAGAATCTTATTGTCTCTGTGTGAATGGACGGAAAACAGCGTCGTGGGCTGTGACCCCAAAATCACTGGGTAAGGGACCTGGCAACTCCAAAATCTCAGTATTGGGCACTAATGGCCGGCTCCAAAACCTCTGTGTGAGGGACCAAGTGGTCCAGAAATACTGGAGCAAGATGCTGGGTGGCTCCAATCTCTCTGGAAGAGTCTGATCTGCTGTGAAAGGAGGTAGGCCGGCTTTGTGGTTGAGGCACTGGACTAGACTGTGGAGACCTGGACTCAATGTCCAGCTCTTGGGCAAGTCAGTGTCTCTCATCCATAAAATGGGCATCACACATTCATTCATGCATGGGAGGTGCCCAGACACCATTGGGCAATCAGCAGTATGGCAAAGCAGCACACCATGCGAATCACATGGACAGCCTGTACTGCGATGCCCAGCCAAAGGTTTCCTCTTTGCTTCAGGTAATGTGACTTTCTCAGTGAGTGCTGAGGCCCTGAGGACAAATCTGCGCTGTGGGAATGAGGTAGTGGAGGAACTGGACAAAGGGCGGAAGGACACGGTGATCAAACAGCTCTTAGTAGAGGTAAGGAGTTATGTGACGGGGGTGATTGCAGAATTCCCTTTGGGGATGCTTCCCGAGGTGCTGACATGGCCACTGCCACTCGCCTTCCTGCTCCCTGGGGCTTCTCACCACCCTGTCCTGCTGGGCCAGCTCCCTGGTCTCCCCCAGCCGAGGCCCAGAGCTGAGATTGCCGCCCCACCCCCTGAAGAGAAGGACAGATACTGAAATTCTTCAGGCCCAAGGAAAATGCAGTTTTGGGCCCAGCTTCCCGGGATACCAAATGGGATCAGATCCCACATAAATTGTTTGGGGAAGCCCCCTTCACAATGAAAGGAGGAACGTGCACACTGGTTGCTCCCCCAGGGAACAAGTATTTACACTGGGCTTGATAGTAAATAAAAGTGATTGTATTAAGTACAAGCAGCAGGATTTAAGTGGTTGTAAGTGAGAAGAGGTTGCACCCCAACGCCCAAACTCCTCCCATAGCCAGCACCCCTTATCCCTCCTGCACCCCAAGCACTAGTTCGAATTAAGTGGCTACACAGCCCTTAATTCAAACTAGTTAATTCGAACTAGGCGTTAGTCCTCGTAGAATGAGGTTTACCTAGTTCGAATTAAGCGCTCCGCTAGTTTGAATTAAGTTCAAACTAGCGGTTCGCGTGTGTAGCGCCTATCAAAGTTAATTCGAACTAACATCTGTTAGTTCGAATTAACTTTATCGTGTAGACATACCCTTAGTCTCTAAGGTGCCACAGGACTTCTAGTTGTTTATACAGATTCAGACTAATATGGCTACCCCTCTGATACTTATAAATAAAGAGTCAACCCTAGCTCCATTACTATTATATAAAGGGAGTTTGGGGATTTTCTCCAGTGCTTCCTACTCCCATTCTCCATCCATGGTATTGTAATTTAAATAAATTATCAAAATAATTGAAATTGATATGCTTAGATGTCATCATTCTGACAAAATATAAAGAGTTCTAAAATATTGTATTCAGAATTTTTAATTTTTTTCATGTACAATTTCCCTAGAAATAATATGCGCTATAAAGAAAATGATCAATTGTTCTCCATGTTCACCAAGAGTAAGAAAAGAAATAATTGCATTAGATTGCAGCTGGGGAAGTTGCAAATTCCCCCTCATATCTGATTTAAGAATAGGGTAGAGAAACACTTGTCAAAGATTTTCTTAGTTCTGCCTCAGAGCAGGGAGTGGGATTACATGAACTCTCAAAGTCTCCTCCAAATCTTCATTTCTATCATGTTACAGTAAGTCGGTTTTGGCTTTTGCTTTAAAATTAGCCTATGTGCCAAGTGAAATTTGAATGGTAACTTGGCTCCTTTTTCTCTCTGTGGAACAAGCAAAGCCCGTGTTTTCCAGTGTGCTATCTCCAAGTAATCACCCATGGAATAACGTTGCAATATCCTCCCCTTGGGAGCCAGGAGGCAACAACTTCCTAGTAGACAATTTCCGACCATTATCTGCTGGCTCAGTGAGATTTTTTATTACATGAGATTTTGCAAGTCTTCCGCTTCCTTTCTCCCACCCACCCACCCAGCCATGCTGGTGCTTTTCCTCAGGTGGTCAGTGTCTCTGCAGGTTCTCACCTTTCTCATTTTCCTTCCATTCCCCTTTCCTCCCCACCCAAAGCCTGAAGGGCTCGAGAAGGAAACAACCTACAACGTCCTGCTCTGTGCAGCTGGTAAGAGCCCCGCCCCTCTTGACATCCTCGGCAGAGGGAAGGGTGGGCACCGCAGGCTTGGAAGGGGAAGAGCTAACTAGAAGCTGAGTATGGAACTGAAGAAAGCAGGATGACGAGGAGAGGTTTGCTGCGGTGAAGGGCTGGAATGGTCCCCACAGGAAGGGCTGGAGGGGTGGGTCTTAGGGAACGTTCCTGGCCTGGGTCCTAGGGGTATGGGCTAGATGGGATTTACTGGGGCTTACCCCTTCCCTCACTCTCTGAGTCTATGGAGTGGCATTACAGATAAGAAGGTTCCAGAGGAAGAAGAGCTGGAGGCTCATCAGGTGCTGGCACCTCCCTCCATTGTGAGGGCCGGGGTGGCACGGAGGGGATCCAGGCCGGACGGGGGAGCTGGGGATCCCTGTGGGGGTCACTGTAAAGCTATGGAGGAATGGGGCTGCTAACGGCAGGGAGCCCTGTGCAGTGGAGGGCAAAGGCCGCAGCAGAGGCAGTGTCCCAGCGGCCTGGCCACTGCTCTCAGGGGGGATTTTACAGCTAGCCCATCCATCTGCTTGTCCCCAGGAAAGACAGTGCCCCAGCCACTGCCCCTGAGGCTCCCGGAGAACGTGGTGGAGGGCTCAGCCAGGGCCTATTTCTCAGTACTGGGTAAGTGAGGCCATGGGACAGCCCGGTTGTGGGTCCTGCTGCCACCGCTTTCCCTGTCTGACGGTCCCGGCCTTGCCCCCATTCCACCCCAGCCCTGTTGTTCACCTGCCACAGCCCCTCCCTCTGTCCCCGGCTGCCCACTGCCGTGGTCTCTAGCGAGCTCTTCTCCTCCTTTTCCTCTCTCCTTCGTGCCCACCTCCGGCTTTTCGTCCAGCCCACTGCTCCTCTCTGGCCGTCTCGGAGCGCACCCTTCACGGCGCTCTTCCACGTCCCGTCTCTCAGCGCACGTTGCCCTCTGTTGTGTGTCTCTCTCCCTCCCGCCCCCTGAGCTCTCGCAGGTCTGGCCTGCACCTCTCACGCTGGCCCCCTGTGCTCTGCAGCGCCCTTTGCCTCTGTGTGACACTCGCTCTCTGGGTCCGTCCCCAGGCGATATCCTGGGCACGGCTATGCAGAACCTGCAGCAGCTCCTCCAGATGCCCTTCGGCTGCGGGGAGCAGAACATGGTCCTGTTTGCCCCCAACATCTACGTCCTGGACTATCTGAACAAGACGGGGCAGCTGAGCGAGGAGACCAAATCCAAGGCCATCGGCTACTTAGTCAGCGGTGAGGCGGGACGGGGCTTTTGTTTCTTCCCTGCTCCCTTCCAAGGTCGTGCTGGAGCTTTCTGTATCTGCCTTGCTCATATAAGGTTTCCATTGAGAAGGGTGGACAGACAGATGGACGGACCATCACTTTTGGGAGGCGGGGAGTAGTCACTTGTACACTCTCGGCCCCGTCACCCCATTGCTCTCCAGTCTGAGCCCAGATGTAACTCACTCTGACCTCAGCAAACGAGAGTCGGCTCCCCACATAGCCCCTCAGCCTTTCCTGGCCACCAGGGCGTCGGCAGCACCCTCACACTGAGCCCTTGTCATACCCCTTGGAATGATGCCTCTGACGCCCCCCTCCCGGCCCTCTCCTCCCCCGTGGTCAGACATTCCCGTGTCTAGGAGCAACTCAGAGAAGTTACCGGTTAACAGCCGGTGCAACAAGAAAGCAACACCCAACAGGACAGCCCCAGCTTGGGCCACACGCTTGATTATTCCTCATTCTCCTTTTCTGCGCCACCCTTCATTTCATGAGGTTGCAGTCTTCAGAGATGGCCTTCCCATTTAGTTTAGCTGCTGCAAAGGAACCCTTAAACTCGCCATTGGTGGCTAGCAGAGGCACATCATAACCCTTTGCCTGAACCTTCATTTACTAGCTAATAGAAGACCAAGGTCTCTCTGCTGATAGACTGAGGCTGGTTGTAGGAATGGGAGGGCTGGCTGGCTCTTGTACTGTACATTGAACCTGCTTCTGCATCTCACACTTCATCCAAACCCAGCTTTGTACCAGTGTAACTATTTCAGTTACAAAGTAAGAAAGTAAATTAATAACAATAATTCCATCCGTACAACCCCTCGTGTGCAGGCAGTTCTACTCCCTTCCCTTCTTCTCACTTCCTCTTGCCAATGCCAATAGAACAAGCTCTCTTGATATTGGCATTTTTCTACTATCCTAACAACCTTGGGATTTGCAGCATTTTAACGGGCCGTCAAAAGGGCAGGGCAAGCAGAGTGCTCATGCTGGACGCGTCATAATCAAGGGTGCAAAGATGCAATAAGTAAAAATAATAAGCTGCGAAAGTAAACAGCACGATGCATGCGAAACTCAGGTGGAGGGCGCAACTATACCTAGTTATAATGCTGAGCACAGGACATCTGTGTGCAGACGGAACTGACGATTCCCTTTTCCCAGCTGACCTCTACACTGGACTTCACTGCAGTAAAACGCACCTTCATTCTCCCTCTCAGGTTACCAGACACAGCTGAATTACAAACACTGGGACGGCTCCTACAGCACATTTGGGCCACGTTATGGGCAATCGGGAAACACCTGGTAGGATTTCAGTGCTGCTGAACTCTTCCCTCCTCTTGTAACCTGGAGCTTGCCCATTGTTAACAGGCGCTGATGCTGCAGGGGCGGGGGGAGATGAAGAGATGGAGCGCTGAGGATGCCTGGGGAAGGGAGATCTCATGTAGTTCAGGTGCTGGAGGCCTGCCATTTCCAGCCCTCTGATTCCCTGTTCAAGTCAGGTTAGAGCATTTGGGGGCTGCTCTAACTTGCTCCAGTTGCCCTCAGTTCCAGGAGGCCCGTACATAAGCTAGGTGCATCCACAACACAGCACACGCCAGCCACTTGTCCTCTGTGCCGGGCTATGTGGAGAAGGCATAAAAGTGCTGGCCAAAGAGTCCCCGGCTGGACAACTTGCTGGTAGTTTCAGCTCCCTTTGTGCTGTGGGAGTGGAGGGGGCAGGGCAGAGAATCCACCCCCAAGTCTGAGTGTGGATACTCGGCCTTTCCAAAATTACGTGTTTGGACCCAAGCTGGACAGGTTAGGCCACCACAGCCCTCAGGCGAACGAGGAGCCGGTGACGGAGGGTGGAGCCATTGCAGCCCCTCGGTGCCTAGTGCCTGCTCTGCAGGGTGAACACACCGGCTCTGCAGGGAGTGGCAGTGGGCAGCTCGGTACAGGTTGCTCTTCCCTCTGCCACTCCTGACTCCATTGCACCGGTGCGGCGCTAGGAGGCGCTGGGCTTCAGAGGCCGAATAAGGGGCCTGCTCCTCTGAGTGCTGCCCCCAGTGCGGCGCTAGAAGAACGTGCAGGGCCAATGTCCTGGCCATTCCTGGTCACTGCAGAGTCTGAGGCTGCTCTTCCACTTTGTCCCCCCACTGCTGCCCTCGCCATTTGTAACCAGTGCAGGAAGCTGGTTCCCTTCCTGTCCTAAAATGGGCCGTAGGTCGGCAGGCAGCGGAGTGAGTGAATGGCTCCCTGCTCCAGGCCTTCAGCTCTCCAGCTCCTGCTGCATCCCCCCAGGCAGGTGCTGCCTGGGGCCCCCGACCCCGCCAGCGAGCACAGGGCATGGGAGGGGCTCTCACCACGGCTGATCTCTGTGCAGGCTGACGGCCTTCGTCCTCAAGTCCTTCGCGCAGGCCCGCTCCCACATCTTCATCGAGGAGAAGCACGTGCAGGACGCCCTGGCCTGGCTCGCTGGCAAACAGAAGGAAAACGGCTGCTTCCGCAGCTCGGGGACGCTGCTGAACAATGCCATCAAGGTGACGTACCCGCCCAGCTGGCTTCCCGTGGGCCTCGTGGGACCCACACAGGATGCCAGTGTCACAGGGATCCTGAAGCCCCGCATGGGCACAGCTCTGCCACTGCGGCACATGGAGCTGGGCAGGGGCCTTGGGAGTGGAGCGGATGGGATCTAGCTGGGGGAAGAGCAAGGGGAAGGGAGAAGAGGGCGGATACAGGGAAGGCACCTGCTTGTGGGAAGACCAGGGATGTCGAAGGCCCCAGGAAGGAGGAGCAGGGGAGGGGTTCAGGGCTAATGTCTCTCTCTGGTTCCCTGCAGGGCGGGGTGGATGATGAGGTTACGCTCTCGGCCTACATCACCATCGCGCTGCTGGAGATGCCTCTGCCCGTCACCGTACGTACCTATAACCCCGCCAGCCACGGCGCAGCAGGGGCCCCAACTCGGCAGCCTCCCACCCCGAGACAGAAGCCTTGAAATATGGGGCAATCCAGTCAGAAAAGACGTAACAGTGAGATCCAGACCTTGAGCTGGAGTTTCCCTGGAGCTTCCCTTCCCGGCCAGGACACTGGCTCTGTCTCGTCGCTAATCCTTTCATATCATCGTTGTTTAAAAGCTTTGGAGGCAGCGTTTGCTGGACCTTCTCTGGCAACCCAGCTTAGAGTTGTGCAGCTATTTAACCCTCGGGGAAATAACACTCCCGCCCTTGGCACTAGCCAGATGGGTCCCCGTCCAGGGCCGATTTCTGTTCTCCCGCAGTCAGGCCTCTTCCACACCCGCACGTGGCCCTGGATAAAGTTCTCTCATCGGCGAGGAGCCAAAAGGCTATTTGGGGCAGCGAGTTCACACAGGGCCACCTGTGCCAGCGCGTCGTGTTCCTGTGGTATCAGGCACGTCGGCCGGGTGGTGCATGATCTAGGCATCCCAGGGCCCTTTGTGCCCCTTCCAGCTGCACTGCCTTGTGGGGACATGTAGTGCCTAGTTGTCCCTGTGGCTTAACCCTTGCAGCCCCAGTGCAGGGTCTGTACGCCCTGTCACACACCCCTATAGTATGGAAATGCTGCACACTGTAGCCATGTGAAATGGTTTCTCAGCCTGGATGCTCTAATTAGCCAGATTGTGTGGTGCTCCCCCCGTGTGGTGTTAGTTCCCTCTGCTGATGAGCTCGTGGGATGGAGATGTGTGAGTGTGCACGTGTGTGCACGCACTAGTGATCTCTGCTGGCCAGTATATGGCAGGTTGCTCCTGTAACTAGGAGAATCTTTACTGACTGAGCAGCTGTTCTGCTTTCTCCCCCTCTACTGGTTTTTTAACTTTAATTCTCCATTTCAGGTTATCAGAGGCAGTTGAATTACAAGCACATGGATGGCTCTTACAGCACATTTGGGGAGTACCACAAGCAGCCGGGGAATACCTGGTGAGATTTCTGTGCCATCACACCTCAACCTCTTCTGGTATATTGCTATAAAGGAAATGCTAAATGTCAGTCAACTAGTGATGCTGTTAAATGCCTGAGCAATCCCTGGAGCCTTCCCAGCAAAGAGAACAGGCTTCATCTGTCTGCGGTGTATATAGAGCAGGGATTTTCAAACTTTTTTTCTCATGACCCAGTTAAAGAAAGCCCAGGACCCCTCATAATTTGACTGCAGTATGGACTCTGGGGTGGGGCTGAGGATGAGAGCATTGGGGTATAGCAGAGGGCTCTGGCTTTGCGGGAGGGGCTGACCTCGAGCAGCTCCCGGGCAGCAGTGCAGCAGGGGACAAAGGCAGCTTCCTGCCTCTCCTGGCACCGCAGATCCTGCTGCCCTCAGAGGAAGCCAGCAGCAGGTTCTCAGCCAATGGGAGTGAGGAGCTGCTCAGGGCAGGGACAGTGCGTGGAGCCCTGTGCGCTCTACCCAACTCCCACCTAGGGACTAAGCCTGCTCCACAGTCTGTGGTGCCAGGACAGGCAGGCAGCTGCCTTAGCTCTCTTACTGGTCACCTGATCCGTCTGCAGCCAGGAGCCACAGTGCCTGGCATTTCAGGGCCCAGTGCTGAGCTGCAACCCACAGTTTGAGTGCTGCTGATATAGATCATCTGATCCCGCTGGCCCCAAGGAGGGAGACAACTGAAGAGGCAACAGGAATGGGATGGGTTTAGATCGTGTTTGAAAAAAGCTGGATGGATCCAGGGGAGCTGCAGAGGAGCAGACTGTTGTATCCAGAATGGCAACACTGGCTTAGATGTAGAGAGCAGCCTGGTGCCAGATAGGCCAAGGGGGCTGCTGTGTCAGCAATCACCCCTTATCAGCCTCATTAAGAGGTGTGTTAAATAGCACCAGTCCTTGTACTAAACCTTGCAACATCCCACTGTTAGCCTTCTGCTCTGATGAAAATCGAACATTTAATCCCATTCTTTGTTTTCTGTTCCTGAACCAATTCCTGACCCATGACAACTCTCACCCTGTCATTGTTCGGTTGAGTAGACTTTCCAAAAGACTTTATGAGAGGGTCTGTCTTAATTTCTGTAGTAGTCTCTGATGTCAACCCGTTCTGTTTCAGTGCATTACTGAGATGTTCAGGGAATTCTCAGATCAGACCCCGTGATGGCTAGGTCCCCTCAGGTCATTATTTTTTGCATCTTTTACTATTCTACTTTTAATTGTAATTTTGACTAGTTCACCAAGTATAGGCAAATTGGCTCTCCCATGGAGGCCTGTTTAAATATAGATTCTACATATGCAACCCTACAATCCTCTGCTCTAGTAGCTGAATCTAGTATGGAGAGGCCCCAAACCGGCTGTGAGAAGGGAAGGGTTTGTAAACAGGGAGAGAGCTGGAACTGGATCCTGAAATCAAGGTGAGGCAATCTGTGGAGGTGTGTAATGGTGGAGGCAATGTATTCCTGCTCTGTGCCCCAGACCACCAGCTCTCCAGCCCCTGCTACATCCCCCCAGGCTGGTGCTGCCCTGGGCCTCCATCCCCGCCAGCGAGCACAGGGCGTGGGAGGGGCTCTCACCGCGGCTGATCTCTGTGCAGGCTGACGGCCTTCGTCCTCAAGTCCTTCGCGCAGGCCCGCTCCCACATCTTCATCGAGGAGAAGCACGTGCAGGACGCCCTGGCCTGGCTCGCTGGCAAACAGAAGGAAAACGGCTGCTTCCGCAGCTCGGGGACGCTGCTGAACAATGCCATCAAGGTGACGTACCCGCCCAGCTGGCTTCCCGTGGGCCTCGTGGGACCCACACAGGATGCCAGTGTCACAGGGATCCTGAAGCCCCGCATGGGCACAGCTCTGCCACTGCGGCACATGGAGCTGGGCAGGGGCCTTGGGAGTGGAGCGGATGGGATCTAGCTGGGGGAAGAGCAAGGGGAAGGGAGAAGAGGGCGGATACAGGGAAGGCACCTGCTTGTGGGAAGACCAGGGATGTCGAAGGCCCCAGGAAGGAGGAGCAGGGGAGGGGTTCAGGGCTAATGTCTCTCTCTGGTTCCCTGCAGGGCGGGGTGGATGATGAGGTTACGCTCTCGGCCTACATCACCATCGCGCTGCTGGAGATGCCTCTGCCCGTCACCGTACGTACCTATAACCCCGCCAGCCACGGCGCAGCAGGGGCCCCAACTCGGCAGCCTCCCACCCCGAGACAGAAGCCTTGAAATATGGGGCAATCCAGTCAGAAAAGACGTAACAGTGAGATCCAGACCTTGAGCTGGAGTTTCCCTGGAGCTTCCCTTCCCGGCCAGGACACTGGCTCTGTCTCGTCGCTAATCCTTTCATATCATCGTTGTTTAAAAGCTTTGGAGGCAGCGTTTGCTGGACCTTCTCTGGCAACCCAGCTTAGAGTTGTGCAGCTATTTAACCCTCGGGGAAATAACACTCCTGCCCTTGGCACTAGCCAGATGGGTCCCCGTCCAGGGCCGATTTCTGTTCTCCCGCAGTCAGGCCTCTTCCACACCCGCACGTGGCCCTGGATAAAGTTCTCTCATCGGCGAGGAGCCAAAAGGCTATTTGGGGCAGCGAGTTCACACAGGGCCACCTGTGCCAGCGCGTCGTGTTCCTGTGGTATCAGGCACGTCGGCCGGGTGGTGCATGATCTAGGCATCCCAGGGCCCTTTGTGCCCCTTCCAGCTGCACTGCCTTGTGGGGACATGTAGTGCCTAGTTGTCCCTGTGCGCAGGGCCGGCCCGAGCCCTTTTGGCGCGCGTGCCGGGCCGTGAAGGCCCTGCAGCCGTGGGATGAAGGGTGCTGCTGGCCAGCGCCACAGGGCCGGCGCTGCGGGAGCCGGGCGCACAGCTCCTTGCGCCCCTTACAGCTGCCATCAGGCGCCCCTCATCGGTTGGCGCCCTGGGCAGCTGCCTGGCTCACCCATGCCTCCGGCCGGCCCAGCCTGTGCGTGTGGGAAATGTCCCCTCGGGATGAGGGGAAGGTAGCGAGAGGCAGGAGCCGCTGTGGCTCTGCTCCGTGTGCTCACTGTATGAGAGCCAGACAGGTCTCCCATCATCAGGACCTTGGTTCAAAACTGCTACCAGTAGGGCTGCTGACGGGGGGACAAAACGGGCAGTTGCCTCAGGGCCCAGCGCTTCAAAGGGGTCTAGAGCGCCTGGCCACTGCCACTGCCATGGGGGCAGCAGCAACAGACAAAGCATTGGGCCTCTTAAATCGCCTCCAGGCTGCCTCTTCACACCCTCCCCTCGGCCCTGAGGGCTGGGCGACCCAGTGCCATGCCCAGGGCAGTGCTGAGGACTGGCTGCCCCCAGCCCCGCGCCTTCCACCCAAGGCCCGGCCCCTTCTGCACCGAAGCTGTCAGCCTCTGGCTACCAGACGGGGTCTCTCTGCTAAAGGGCAAGTTGCATTGGGGAAGCGCAGTGGGCGATCTCTCCCCGCCCCCTCTCAGCCCCCTCTCTCTCCCCTCACAGCACTCTGTGGTCCGCAATGCTCTCTTCTGCCTGGAGACGGCCATGGAGCAGGAAGGAACCCACGTGTACACCAGGGCACTGCTGGCCTACGCCTTCGCCCTGGCGGGGAAGGAGGAGAAGCGCAGGGCCCTGCTGGACTCGCTGGACAAGGAAGCAGTGAAAGAAGGTGAGACCTCCTGACAGGCCCTTCTCCTGACCCAGCCTGCGGGGCCTGCATCCCCACGTGGAAGGTGACCTGGGACTCAGACTCGCACAGAGGGGAAGCCACCGCAGGGCAGAGGCAGGAGGGAGGAGGACCAGGCAGGTGGCTCTTATGTGACAGGATGAAACAAGATGGAGAGAGGGGCAGCCCAGGCTTAGTTCTGGCCTCACAGCCTGTCGTACCCCGGCCTTTCACACTGGGTCATTGATGCCTCCTTCCTATCCCGCCTTTGGTGAAAGGGCAACTTTCCCTTTGCATCTGTCCCTTGCATTGGTGCTTTCCCTCGTCCTGCCTCCCTCCGCTTGCCCCCTCCCAGCCCCCCGCAGCTGGTTAGCATTTCCTGTTCCTTTCGCCCATGTTCCCCTTTGCTGCACCGTGTAACCGGCCTTCCTCTTCCTCTGCTCCCTTCCTCCGTCCCCCTCCGCAAACCTCACTCCTGCCTCCCGCACTGGGAGCTCCCAGGCCTTTCTTCCCGGCTGACACAGGATTCACGTGCCACTGTGGCGCCTCCTGCTGGCTGGCCTGGAAATTAGCTCTGCTGGCCAATGCACCCTCGTGAGGCGCCCTGTCGCTTTTACTGTCATTTCAGGCCCCGGGCCAGTCCCAGGACTGCAGCGTCCTTTTCAGTGACACTGCCCTCCAGCCGTGCCACGCGCTGCGCTCTCCCTTTCCGGGGAACCGGCAATCTCCCTCCAGCCACTTCCTCAGTGGCAACTGCCCACGGCAGCACAATTTCGCAGGGTCCCCCCCTTTGACATGGCACATGCGCAGGGCTTCTTGAAACGCGGGGCCGGGAGTGACTGCCCCGCTTGCCCTGCCCTATATCCGCCCCTGCTGCCAGCCCCTGTCCCAGGGCCTCTTCCATGCGACTGCCGCACCCTCTTCTGCCCTTACCTCAGGGCCTTGCCAGCAGGCCCTAGCAGCCAGCCAAGAGAGCTCTCCAGCTCCCCCAGTCCCTGCTTGCAGCACCGCTAGGTCCTAGCGCTCCAAACCTCTCTCCTCTCTGCTGCCTCCCGCACTAAAAGCTCCCCCATACTCCCTCCACGCCCACAAAATCTCAATGCATCCCGCACTAAAAGCTCCCCCATACTCCCTTCCTCCACGCCCACAAAATCTCAACCCCTGCCCTATATCCGCCCCTGCTGCCAGCCCCTGTCCCAGGGCCTCTTCCATGCGACTGCCGCACCCTCTTCTGCCCTTACCTCAGGGCCTTGCCAGCAGGCCCTAGCAGCCAGCCAAGAGAGCTCTCCAGCTCCCCCAGTCCCTGCTTGCAGCACCGCTAGGTCCTAGCGCTCCAAACCTCTCTCCTCTCTGCTGCCTCCCGCACTAAAAGCTCCCCCATACTCCCTTCCTCCACGCCCACAAAATCTCAACCGTCCTGCTGCCTCACATCTGCCCCTCCCCCCCACACACACACACGCTGCAGCTGGCCCCAGGCACAAGCTAATGCCAAGCACATGCACTGTTGCCCCAGGATCCGCTCACACACCCGGGCTCCTTCACTCCACCCCAAAGCCCCCTCCCCACATTCCCAGTTCTCCTCCCATCATTGCAGCCACCTGTCCCTCTGCAGGCTCCACAAACACATTTTCCCATCTCCAGCCCCCCGCCCAGAGGCCTCATGGGAGTTAGGCAACTCTCTGCTCTGCGAATGCAGGTATCGCCAGGCTGCCAAAGGCCACTCAGCACCCGAGTCGGGGGGTGGAATCCAGCAGCCGGTCGTGGCCAACCCAGTCACATTTCCCACCGGTGGCTCACTGAGGGTGCCCCAGCGCCTCGCCCTGCAAGCAGCAGAGTGTAGGCCCCGCCGTCCCTGTCTGTGCTGGCTGAGAGTCACGTTCACCAGCGTCATGCCTTTTGTTTTCTAACACGGAGCATTTCCCCGGCGTAGATGGACCCAAAGGCCTTGTCTGTGCACAAGCCGCGCTGTGCAGCTGTTCCCGTGCAGTTAAAGTGGTGTGACTCCCCCAGTGTGGACGCAGTGATAGCCGTGTGCCGGTAGAACTGTTCCCCTGGAGCTTTCCCAGACAAGGCACCGCTCTGCGGGTATAACTGCGCCCAGACTGAAGGCACCGGCAGGAAAATCACGGCCCTAAGCAAAACAGGGGTAGTGGCACAAAATCTGTGTGTCCACAGGTGTCTCCCTCCCTCCCTCCCTCCCCACCCCCCAGAGCTGCCGCTTCTCTCCCTCCCTGCCCCTTAACCCCCTCGCTGGAATCCCTCATCCGCGCTTTCTCCTTCCCTCTCCCTCCTCCCCAGCCCCTCCCTCTGCCCGCCCCTTTGGCTCCAGCCCCCCCTTCCCTGCTCTCCCCCTTCGCCTCAGGAGGGTTCTTGCTCCCCAGCCCTGTCATCCATTTTGGGGCAGAAGCAGCTGAGTGGCCTCGAGCTTCCTCCACCCCGGTGCAGGCTCTGCTGGCTACCGCAACCCAGGAAGGGCTGGGAGGAGCTCAGGAGGCAGCGGGCGAGGCAGCAGCTGCTTTGGTCCAAGGGGCATCACACGGAGAGAAGCCTCAAGGGGCCCATTTCAGGGCACTGGAGCTGCCTTACAGGTCCCCAGGCATAAGGGGCATCACCAGGGAGGAGGGAGCTGGGGCTGGGTCCCTTCCCCTAGGTCTGGCACCTGTGGGGACGCTTGGATGGCGGCTTTTTCCTCGTGCTGAACCAGTCCCATTAGGACAAAGGGGATTTAGAAACGTGACCTGGGGCCAGGGCTGCGGGCACCTGACTTTGCAGCTACTCAGGTGTATTGCGGGGGAAGGGTTCTTCCTGCAGCTCAGTGCTGTGCGTGAGCATATCCCGTCACCCTGGCCCAATGGCGCCCTTCCCACTGAGCAACAGCACAGCTCAGCCGGGTCCCCCCGGCTCAGCTCCGCTCCTCACTCCAGGCTCCGCTCCTCGCGCTGGACGCTCCTCCCTGGCCTGCTCCTTGCAGCGGGAGACGACAGACGAGGTGCCCGTGTCCCGACGCTGGACGCTCCTCCCTGGCCTGCTCCCTGCAGCAGGAGACGAAAGACGAGGAGAAGCCTGATGTTTGGACTGGCAAAGGGGGAAACGGATCATTGGGGCCTCCAAACAAGGTGCCCGTGTCCCGGGCAAACCCACGGAGGACTGGGGCTGGGCTGGAACAGAAGGGTGCACAGGGCCCTCGCCCAGCTAAGTGGAGTGTGACCGTCACTGCCTCCCTCATCCTCCTTTTGCCCCTTGAGGCTGGGACCACTGAGCGACCTCCCATCTTTTGGGTCAGTGAGTGCAAGAGAGGCTGCTCCTGTCCGTTTCTGGGCTGTCCCTGCATAAGATAAAGGGGATGTGGGCCCAGAGGTGGCAGCCTGATTAGTCACTGAGTGTTTGTGTAAATCCACCAAACCAGCAAGGGGCTACTTAACCCCTTTCCCTCTCACACCAGTGTGCCAGAGGCGATCCTCAGAGTAGGTCAGCAACCCTCTTGGCAACAGCCGATATTCTTTAATAAACATTTCTTCTCCCCTGCCTCCCTCTCCCTTCTCCCGCTGCAGACGGCTCCGTTCACTGGCAGAGGCCTGGGAAGCAGCCAGAGGCCAATCTCCCCTTCTATCACCCCCGGGCTCCCTCTGCTGAGGTGGAGATGACGTCCTACGTGCTCCTGGCTTACCTCACCGTGCGGCCGGAACTGTCCCGGGATGACCTGTCGTCGGCAGCTCAAATCACAAAGTGGATCAGCAAGCAGCAGAATCCCAACGGGGGCTTTTCCTCCACCCAGGTGAGCCGTTCCCGTCCCCAGCCCAGGCACCAAGGGCAAGGGTGAGAGGCGAACAGGACAGGGCAGGAGACAGACAAGTAACCCAGGAGGAGGGAAAGGCAGCCCCGCACAGAGGGTGAGTGTGGCAGTCCTCTCATTCTTCTCACTAAGCTATAACCCTTGCTCAAACTTCATTACTGAGCCTATCTCATGGAAATATATGGAGACATACCTATCTCATAGAACTGGAAGGGACCTTGAGAGCTCATCAAAGTCCAGTCCCCTGCCCTCACAGCAGGACCAAGTACCATCCCTGACAGATTTGCCCCAGATCCCTAAATGGCCCCTTCAAGGATGAGATCACATCTCGAGGTTTAGCAGGCCAATGCTCAAACCAAAATTTGGTGTTGTCTACCCAGCACTTATTTCAAAATAAATCACTATTCTGAAACATGCCTTACTCCTGATAGCACTTATTTTACGGGGACATCAGAATAGTGAGCCTGTTATATTTCGAAATAACAGGCGAACTCAGAAGAGGCAGAATAGCTATTTCAGGATACCTCCAGCTGCTTTCAATAAATACTCTAAAGTGGATAGAAAGCTGGCTAGATCATCTGGCTCAATGGGCAGTGATCAATGGCACAATGTCTAGTTGGCAGCCAGTAACAAGTGTTATGCCCCAGCAGTTGGCCCTGGGGCTGGTTTTTTGCAACATCTTCATTAATGATGTGCAGGAGGGGATGGTTTGCCCCCTCAGCAAGTTCACAGATGACACTAAACTTGGGAGAGAAGTAGATAAACTAGAGGATAGGGACAGAGTGACCTAGACAAATTGGGGGATTAGTCCAAAAGAAATCTGCTGAGGTTCAACGAGGATAAGTGATAGTTTGACACTTAGGACAGAAGAATTCCATACACTGCTACAGGCTGGGGACCAACTGGCTAGGCAGCAGTTCTGCAGAAAAGGACCTGGGGATTCCAGTGGATGAGAAGTTGGATATGAGTAACAGTGGGTATGTCTACACTACCCCACTAGTTCGAACTAGCGGGGGTAATGTAGTCTTCGAACGAGCGGGGTTAATGTAGACATCCGAAATTGCAAATGAAGCCCGGGATTTGAATTTCCCGGGCTTCATTTGCATGAAGACGGTCGACGCCACGAAAAGGACCTGGGGATTCCAGTGGATGAGAAGTTGGATATGAGTAACAGTGGGTATGTCTACACTACCCCACTAGTTCGAACTAGCGGGGGTAATGTAGTCTTCGAACGAGCGGGGTTAATGTAGACATCCGAAATTGCAAATGAAGCCCGGGATTTGAATTTCCCGGGCTTCATTTGCATGAAGACGGTCGACGCCACTTTTAAATGCCGGCTAGTTCGCACCCCGTGCCGCACGGCTACACGCGGCACAGAGTAGCTAGTTCGGATTAGGCTTCTAATCCGAACTAGCTGTACTCCTCGTGGAATGTACTCCTCATTCCACGAGGAGTACAGCTAGTTCAGATTAGAAGCCTAATCCGAACTAGCTACTCCGGGCCGCGGGTAGC